ATATTTCAGTTAAAATTAGTTAATTTTTTTTATAGCTGGATAATTTTCGCCTTTTTCATGATATAATAATAGTAATCATAAATAGATCTTGATAATACTCATATGTAGTAAAATGTAATGTTTAAATGAAGCTCTTTAAGTTGAAGATTGAAATTTGGAAAATTTCCTCTTGCATAGAGCAAAACCCTTGTAAATGCGTTATTAAAATTTGAAACGGCTTTCTGGATATACACCGAGCCTGGAACAAAACGGTGCGAAGGTCTTATCCCGATGCTCACCCATGACCGATTCCCCGGTTAACGTCGCCATCCGGCGAAACAATTAAGGTCGAAACGTTAATGTCGAAGCAGGGCCGTTACCGTTCCCGCTGCATCTATACAACCTAACCCCTGGTCCTCTGGAAATCTGTAAGTCTGGAGGCGGCAGCGGCGGCGGCACACGGGGGCTGGCTTTTATATCTGGCATTTATGGGCCAGTGCGCGCTTAGATTGAGCTGCCAGACGTGTGTACAATACAGTTCCGCGTGCCGCTATCATTTGAATCGGTAGCCTGAACTTAACCGAGACTCAATTTACTGGCGGATTAAGACACTCGTAGCTATTCACTAACCCCGTCGAACAAGCGGCGTTACGGTTCTTAATAAACGAAGACTATGTCATTGTCTCGCGTCATTAAACGCGAACAGCTCGATGCTGGCGTAGGGAAACTTAGGAAAACTGCTCTCGATCTCAACCCCTCCGGAGCTGCTGCCCTCGCAGGCACCGCTCCGGCTTTTCCATCCCCTTTTTCCCGGAGAGTTCCGCAATTTTATTTCACTTTATTTTATTTTATACATATATTCTTCTTATTCTTCTTTTACTCCTTTTATATATATTTTTCTTCTTTCTGTTCCTTTCACATTTTCCCAACCCCTCCCCAAATTGTATATACACTGATTTTAATGCCGCCACAGGACGGATACCCGCCTCCCAAAAGCGATTACTGCATTAAATTCTGTATTCGCTCTATTTAATCTTACGTCAATGCGATTCCTTGCCAGACACCAGAAACGAAAAGAAGTATTGTCCAAGGTACTAAATTCCGTATTCAATTTGCTTAATGCACAAAATTCTATTATTTAACTTAGAATTCAGCTTTAAATCCCGACACGCCTATTGTGTTAGATTTAGTACAGCGACAAATTTAACTCAATCGATCTATTAGATAGATACCCGGAAGCATTTCGCGTAATTACCATCAATGGTATTATACCATTCTAATCTTAATCTAATCGTGTATGTTCTCTAATTATTACATCAAAAGTACCAATTACATACGATGCAAATTCATTAGCTCATGGATGATTATTCTAAATACGACAGATGTGCAATTTAATCACATCAAAGTTAATTGCAATTATTAATTAATTATTAAGAACTATAGATGATAATAATAATCTGGTATAAAAATGTAGGTTGGAAAAAGTTGATAATATTACAAGTTATATCAATATATGATATTTTCTTGTGAGAAATTTCTTTCTTTGAAAATGTGAAGAAAACTAATAGCTTGTATAGAAGACAATGTCAGAAATGGTATGTAATTAAAAATATGTGCTTAGTGACTCTGCCTGAAGGCAATTATGAAGAAAAACAAACAAGAGGGAAGAAGGAAGTGAATCTAGATGCCGGTCATGCGAAGGAAAACGGCACGTGCCGTCCCAGAATCCTGTGACGTTCAATTAAAAACGGGCGGAATGTGAATTTTCTAAAGATAGCTCAACCGAGCATACACATACGAATACGTATTATTATGCTCATATCACGAACGAGTTAATGAAGATGTTAACTTCGCAAACAGTTCTGTTTCGTGACAATTGTTATTGTGAATATATCATCGCCAAGCGAACGGGACAAGAGAGTTGTTTGTGCAAAGCCAGCCCGCACAGGCATCCATCCGCCGCCTCCAACCACCCTACCACCCTTCCATCCTTCCATTCTCGAGAATGGGGCGGCGCGCACCACCGCCTCCCCTATCAGTCCGAACCCCCCATTACAGACGCACTGCTTCTGTGAGGGCAAAGATAAGCCCCCCAAATTAACTTCATTTAATTTGCCGTGTGTCTCGGAAAATCAGCCTCCTGCATAAAATCCAACGTCGACGACTACAACGACTTACGACGATCGGAAACCGATATTGACCTACCTACCATGCTATTTACTCCATCCCTCTTATACGTATGTGTATATATATATATACATCGTTTTGCTTCGCGAAGCAATCACACAACCCAATTTATCGTGGCTATAATAATCGCAAATTCTCCTTATAGCTTCACTATAAAAATGCTCGCAAGAGAAACGGATCGCTTTTATTTGGAAACGATCCATACACTACTCTCCACTTTACAATAAATCAAACCAATTTTTACCGAGCCTCCGACATACTTCGCAATCGTATCATAAAAGGAACACGTCTCACTGGACGATCCCAAAATACATTCCATACAATTACCATCCAATTAATCTTAACGTTACAAATCAAAAAAAGCCTATAAATAGTATCAAAGTGTGGATATTGATTTGGGTGACTTTCTTTTCGCTAGACTAGTAAAAAGGCATAGCATATGAGAGGAGAGGAGGAGGAAGAAGAGAAGAGAAAAAAAAGGATGAGGACATGGAGCCAGTCTGAAGCTTGTTATACCCTGCGAGATTTAAAGATGATCCCATCTTATCTGGAGACTCTCTTTTCTTTTCTTATCCATTCCAAAATACCAGAAATGGAATTTGATTCGATTTCACACGCTCACTGCAGTGCATAGCTTTAACAAGTTCAATACATTCTAACTATTTACGTCACATAGATATTTAGAAATATGTGTATTCCTTAACATTTTCATCGTCCATCCTGAATAATACGCTTTCTTGGAAATCCAGTTCATATGCTCACACCTGCGCTGCACATTTCTTACTCCTACATGTATGCATCATGAAATTTATAATATTGAAAATTATTTCATTTTCAACTCCCAAATTTAATATATATATATTTAATAGAATCATAATCTACTGGTGCATCCACACCGTTTCAGATAAGTATACTCGCGTATGCGCGTCTCTTTCACATTTATTTTATTTTGTTATATATTAAATTTTTAATATTATACTAAAGTTATAATTATCTAATATTTTATGTTAAATTAAATAAAGTATTCATTAATTATCCCAACTTCACTTTCACTTTTATATGTTTATTTATAGTTTTATTCCACTTTGAGACAATTATTGTTATAATAAAAAAAAATGTTGTTGTAATTTTATAAATAAAAAATTGATATTATGTGTACAAATTTATATAAGCAAACTTTTGGGGGACTTCAAATTAAATAACTTCCAAAACTAATAAAACTGCGATTATTATAATTAAGACTTGACGTTTCAACAATCCGAGCGTCAAAATTCTGCGGCGCTTATTATTTTTTTTGTTCCCCGAGTCCTTGCTATTATTATATCTATATATTTAAGCGAAATTCCTAAATTATGCAATAGCCGTATTTAAAATCGTATTAAATTCCACACATTCCCGGTGAGAAATTCATTAGTTGCTAGGGAAAAAATTAAATGAAGGGAAATACAACACATAACTTGGATAAGAGATGGTTCTAAAAAAAAAGAAGGGAACGACATGTGCATGATGATGATGGAACATAACAAATAATATAGAGAAGAAAGAAAAAATAAATAAAACGAACTGCGTAGAAGTTACGCTTTTGAATGGCGCTAACATCAACAGGCAGTATTTGGTGCCAACGTTCATACATAATAAAGTAATACTCTGTTTAGCATTCATTCCACCGGCACAAAAGACATTATTTAACCTTTTACTGCACAATGGTTCATGGACGTGGACTTCGTACATACATAATATTTTTCCAGGCATTCTTTCTGTTTACTACTTGCAACCGCACAACATTTTTTTTGTGTATGTTTTCAAATCCCTATTCTTTTTGCTTAGTAAATTGAAAAAAAAATCACATTCGTGCTTATAATGTCATTACTCATTTTATATCATTATGTAATTAATTATAATAATAACAACAACAACTATTTTTAGCATCAAACTTCAGTATTTTTTAAATATTTATATTTTTTAATTCAACAGAAACACTTAAGATTTAAATGATTATTAAATATTTAATTTATTCTCAAAGCATTTTAAGTATTAGACAAAATATACATTTTTGAAGATTTTTTTTAAAGTTTATTAATCGCGAATAAGAAAAAATTTAACAATTGAACATGAAAATTAAAAGGACTATTAAAGAAAGTATGAAGATATCTTCAAAGATTGTTGATTGTTGAGAAGTATACATTTTTAAGGTATTAGTTGATACAAATAACATTTTTCAAAAAAATAAACTTCGGAAAGGACTATTATCACTAAACTCACCATTACGTTTTATAAAACTTTCACATATTTAAACATTTTCACTTCAGTTTTTCTTAAAATGTGCATACAATGTATTTTTCAATATTTATTTCTCTTTATAACTATATTTTTTCAGAAATGTATGTAGCTTGTCCTACCTGCCAAGACCGGTCTATCATCTAAATCTATTCAAAACTAGTTGCAAGAAGGACTAATAAAAAACTAGAATTGCTAATCAACGGAAAGACAATTTGACACGTTTTGCTAGCAAACTGTATAAATCAATTTCTTTTATTTTTCTAAATTATATGCATAATTCAATAGAAATAGAAAAAATAACAAAAATATACCGGAAACGATTAGATTTTATAATAGTACAAAATTTGGTGTAGACAAGACCAAATGGTAATAAAATACAATGTCAAATCGGAAAATTGTAGGTAACCTCTCAAGGTTATTTTCAATATTTTAGACATAAAGAAACAATGGCGAAACATATGGGACATAAAAATTTTAGAAAGGGTTTGGTGGGACATGGCACAAAAATGTTGAGAATCACTGTATTAGATGGTATAAAGATATTGGTTTCTTACCTAGAGCAACCGGAAGGAAGGCGCAAAGCAGCAGTGGTCCTGCGATAGGCATGGTGTCGTTCGTTGATGGTCTTCTCTCGTTGCACTTTTTGTTTACGACGCTAGCCGTCGACTGCGTCCACCGTTGTAATCGCTGCCACCATTTCGGGACCTGAAACACGTGCACTTTCCATATAATATAAATCACGAATGGTAATAAGTGCTGAATCTGGGGTCGGATCCCAATAGCCTGCTAATGTCAGCACCTCGGGTGACAGACCGCCGACATGGACCCACACTTTACTACTCTCCCCACAGTTAATAAATACCACCGTCGCCACCCCGGCCGCACATTCCCAAACATTATTATATGGAACCCAGGTTTTCATGCCTTCCATCAAAAAAAAAAGATGAAGAAGAATAAGAAGATAAAAAAAGAAAACGGCTACGAAAACACCACCAACACGGATGGGGTGAAAGGAACCGAAGGAGGGATGAAAGTTTTAATTGAAATCACGCAGATTCCGCTAACGGCTTACAATTGCTAATCAAGGCGGACCGTAACACTAAGCGTAATGGCTATGGCCTGAAGGATCCCGGGAAGAGGGCGTCACAGGTGCCCAATATGCCATCCCTTGACGAAGCGCCTTCCTGCAAATACATCGTTTTCGTTCCTTCATTCCAGCAGATATATAATATATGGTTTTAGGGATACCCTCGCTGTCTCTGCTTGCGTGTGACTATACGAACATTGCGAACTTTGTTGAGACTACATTCAAAATAATTTACGCAATATGAATACGAATGCGCGGAGTTTATTATTAAAATGAACGCGTTCCGAATTGCAGTGCCAGCAGCCAGTAAATCTACCGAGTGTATTAGGAATTACGATTATTTTATGGGTTTGGCGTTTACGATGAGCAGCTTTTTGGAGGACCACTATATATACACACACATATATATTCCGCACATCGTCATATATAGAAATATGATGATGTGTTATATAAAAGCGAATAAACTCGTCACAATACTTCAGTTAATTCCTGAACAGATTTCAGGTTAAATATTGCTCGATCACAAAAGCACCCGTTTTGCATTGAATTTTTTTTTTAATTACTGAAAACATAACAAAAACAAATTCGTTGGACCAAATTAATGAAAAATTTCTGGAATGTAAATCGCAAACATCAACTTTAGAATGGATCAATTCATTTTATAAATTCCTTTTATGAAAATGCTGACATGTCACAATTGTTTGCAAATGTTTTTAATTATACATACATATTTTTTTAATGAAACAGGTTTAATTATGGAACAATTTTTTATAAAATTTAATATTTCTCTTAATTTATTGTACAATGCTTTTTTTATTGTATAATAGATTTCAATTTCTTTAATACATTTGTTTTTTTTTGTAAATATGATTATATAAAGTATTATATGCGCTTGTAATTAATGTTTTTTTTTGGTAAAGTTAATCTTTAATTTCTCTTTAAATCCAATTAGTTCATTTGGTGGAAATAATGTGTTTTGATTGATTTTGAATATGAATATGTTAATGTATGTTGATAGGTAATGCTTAATGTAAGATGTAAATACGGGTTAATGAAAGTGTTATAAACTCGTCACAATTGTGGTGCGGACTTCAATGAAGATAATTCATGAGCAGATTTCAGGTTAAATACTTGCTATCTCGAGCGCGTTCCGTGGACGCGACCGAAGGGTAGTTAGGTGAGGGCGGCAGGACGAAGGACGGGTATGTTTTAAATGGGGTCCACCGCCCTTTGCGAGAGCGACCATTTGAAAGCCATGAGAGCAGAGCGCCCTCGCCGCTTATCTGTACTGGCAGAGTTTACATATCGGTTTACTGGCAATTTACTCTGTTTAATTATTAGTTATACGCGTTTCTACATTTGTTTGTACATGGGGGAAAAGAGGTTTTCGGGATGAGCGATAATGCACGACGCGCTGCCGTTTGTTTGTTGGGCGGCGTGGCGTGGCATGGGCGGATGCGGATTGTGGATTGTGGATGGGCGCAGGCAGGAGTAGTCCTGACGTAGTGACTTAGACATATTAGCGTGCCTTTATTGGATCCGCGGTCTACACTTTCTATTCATAAGTATCTCACGTTGGCACCCAATCAATTAAGGTGAGCGAGATGTGGGATCCGCCACCCAGACAAACAACCACCCAACCACCCCCAACCCCTCGGGGTGGTGGGAGTGAGGCACATGTGTCTGGATCGCATCTCGCTTACACCGAACCTACATTTATATTCATTTATTATACAATGCGCCCTTCCGAAGGGATATATAATTACTGGCTGCCGCTCGGGACGTATTAGATTGCACAATTTCGAAATAATATTATGAGAGGATAGTTGTGGGGATGTATGGGAAAAAATGGAAGGAGAAGGAGAAGAAGAGGATGACAGTAAACAACAGGAGTATGCGAAAGAATAGGAGACAAAGAGAGGTGCGACTTAATGAGCATCCGCGCACACATCGAACGGGGTGGTGGGACTTGAGGGGGGTATGTTTTATTTGCGCATAACGAGGCACTATTATGGGGGGATGCAACGCGATACTGCTGAACGGGGGGGTTGGGAGTGGGTGTGCGGAGTCGGTGGATGGGAACGAAAACCGGCGCCATAATTAAAAATTTCGTTTGTACTCCCCCAGCACTCGGGGGCAAGTATTTATTCTGAGGTGGCTTCTTCGGTTCCAGGCTGACACAGATAAACTGGCGCCACAGAACAATTTCCTTCTCTTAATCACACTGCATTCCCGCATAAGTCTCCCAACTGGAATGCACCTCACTGCCACAGCCACCTCTTCTTCCTCATATACTAATACCCATCTTCTCCTTTACATACCCATCCTCGCCCACACACAAACACCCATACACACCGTTATACCCGTGCTTCGAATGCTTCGAACGTTCCATAGATAAAAATCCAAACCAATAAATACAGCCACAGCCATTTGCACTTCATCTGCACTTCGATAATTATTTCATACAAATACCTACCAATAGTGCCTATTTATAACTAAAACATTTCCTTTTGTGCGCAAAAAAAATATTTTATATTTATTACTTACTTTAGGAAACTTACAAATGTTCAAACGAATTTATAAATAAAAATAACAATAACCGGTATTTTCAAATGTATATAATACAAATAATATTATCGATTTATTATTCAAAGAGAGTTTATGTAAAAAAATTTTCATTTTTTTTTTTGTAGATTTTCATGGAACGAAAATTTAATGAGTTATATCATTTTGAACCAACATTAAAACTCCACCTTGCGCTGAATTTGCTATAGTCCATTAAAATTCATTGTATATCAAATTATCTTTAATGATCTTTATCCTATTAAGATCAAGTATAATTAAGGTAATTTCCTTAATTGGGCCCTTAACATTGAAAGTTTTCAGATCTACAGATATGTGGGTATCGGTATGATCCCTTTTATCATCTAAGCCTTGTCACTTACATTAAAATGTTTATATAAATATAATCTATGATCTTTAAAATTTATTTCTGAATATAGTTACATGTTACAGCTAATTAAAAGTAATTAAGCAAAACTAAAGTTTTTGTCGATCGATTTGAGAAAAAAAAGTGTTTAAAATATATTTTTTTTGTAATTACTAATTTTATTGGTGAAATTATTTGTCTTATTTTATAAATATTTCAAGTAAAAATAATTTATTTCAAATAATATTTGCATTTGAAGAATGATCCTTTCCAATATTTAGAAGTAATTAAAATTATACTTTATATTATTTTGATAATTTATTTATAATAATTGTATATTATTAGTTTTATTAAAATATGCTAAAATTTTTAAAATTACAAAAAATGTTATTGTTAATGAATGAATACATTGAAAACTCATTTGTTTTTTTTTTGTAAAATGTAAATATAATGTAGAGTGACAGGAGCAATTAAGGTAATATCCTTAATTGGGCTCTTAAGAGTAGGTTTACATAACAATTTCGGTATCCCTTCATTGATCAACACATAGTTGTTGAAATATTCTGTTTGAATGATGTCCGAAATGTCACAACCTTTCGGTACAATGATTAGGTCAACTTCGGCAATCCAACCGCTCATTACATGAACCAGTTGGTTCTGAAGTGATGCGCGTGAAATAATGAGGTCGTTTCTTAGTGAAATCATAATGCTGAGAAGGAGAAGTTCTCGCCCTTAGGGACTATAGTAACCGATTTTGGGTGTTTATATATATATAGAAATATACACCCTCGTTTAACGGTCTATCGAATGTAGGAAAAAAAATTGTATATAAATATCATCGTCGAGTGGGTGTTGTGGTGCGGCGTTGAGTTTTGCATGTGAATGGAATATTTTAAGAGCGATAATTTATTGTTGATGATATGAAATATAAAGTATGTAAATGTTCCCGTGGGGTTGAATTGCGTGAGGGTGGTGGTACTTGGTTTTGGGGGTGGTTGGACACCAGGAGGATACCATACACTGACACATTTGTGTGTGTTTGTGTTGGGGTGTTGGGGGTGCGATCGAAATATCCAAAATCCGGAACGGACAGTGCGGAACATAAACGCTAAACGGAGGCGGTCTCATCAATTCTCGGCGTGACGTGTTCTATCACAGTGCCATCTCCAGACAGCAGTCAGCATTACACCACAAAAACAGCCCAATATGTAGCTTTTAAATTAATGATCCTCGCTATTGCTTCCTGCTCGTCCCGCATCGGCTTTCTCTGCAGACTAATATTCAACGGTGCGGCCTTATTTGCTTTGAAATTTGCTCCGGGACCGGCCATTCACGATAAAATACCGGCCAATATATCGACTGCCTGTTACTGACCACATCATTTACTCGTTTGCTGACTGTCGCTCTTTTTCTCTCACTCTGGCACAGGGTGGTGGTAGTTGGTTTGTGGGTGGAAAAAGTGGGCCGACAGGATCGTACCACCCCTGCCTCCTCCAACGCTTCAACCGCCTCCACCGATCCCTCCGGATGCGACGACCATCGATTTTCGGACTATGCCAATTGCATCGATGCAATTAATCGATACCTACTTAGAGCAGGGCGACCTGAAGAAAAGCGGAGTGCGGTCTCTTTGATCGAGTCCATTTAGTTTTGGGAGAGATCCTGGAGTAGTTAGCAGTAAAGTAGCTC